ATTAGGTTTGGTTGCAAATACCAGGCATCCAAACACGTGGCTTACAGTCCAGAGGTTTTATTCTGGCGCAACAAAGGTTGGAGGTGGACGGCTCGGGCTGCCTTTCTGCTCTGCGCTTCCTACCCTGTGGCTTCCTGGCTCAGGCTTCCCTCGTGGCCCAGAATGGCTGCTCGGACTCTGCCTCTGTGTTCATGTCCTGTGCAGTGGGGGGACAGAGGGGACAGGCCTGTTCCAGATACTTTGTGTAGGTCCCACCCCGTGTCTTCTGCTTAGCGGTTACTTGTCCCAGACTCAGTCTTCCAGCCGTGACAGGCTGGAAAACGTCACTTCCAGCTGGGCACATTCCCACACCCAGACTAGGGACTTTGTGAACACGCGAGGGCGGGGCTGCCGGGGGCCATGGCAGTCTCTTCACGCCTCTCGGCTTCCTCCCAGCCGTCCGGTTCGCTCTCTCACTGGCTTGGTGCTCAGCGAGGCCCCGGGGGTGGAGAGAGGAGAGAGGCTCCTTGCCGTGGGGGAGGGGCCGCTCAGTGCGAGGCCAGCATGCGGTGCTCGCAGCGCAGGGGAAGAGCGCAGCCTGCGGGGCCGGGCCGGGGCAGAGGCCGAGGGGCGCTTCAGTCTGCAGCTTGTGTGCTGCGTGAGGACCAGGTGCTGTTCGTGCTGCGAGGGGCTCGGGGCCGGGCACGCAGCACATGCCCGGGCAACCGCTGGGTGGGTGTTGCTGTGTGGGCTGCAGGGGTGAAGGCCTCTAAAGGCAGCGCACATAAGTGTGTGAACTGCGCTGGCTTCAAAAGTGAGCCACCCACACCACCGGCGCTTATTGGGCACCGCTGTGTACGGTACCGTACAGGCATGAGAGCTGCCGTGGGGACAAGACAGACTCCCTGCCTGTTTCCGTGGGGGAGCACAGACATCGAGGACGTACTACGGCAAGTGGAGAGTGGCAGGGCCAGGCCCAGCCAGGCGGAAGGAGGGGCTCACCTGCGGCAGCGCCTGGAGCTGAGAGACTTGGCAGAGCCCAGGTGGCCAGACGTGGACAGCTGGGAAATGTTAAGGCCAGAAGTGAGCAGGGCGGAGCCAAGCAGGGCCTTGACCTGGCAGGGTGTTTGTGCTTTGTCTTAGACACAGCGGGTCTAAAACCCCAACCTAACTGTCCCCGGCAACAACTAGGTCACATGCTGAGACCACAGGGCAGGTGGAGTTCAGGCACAGTGCCATCAAGATGCAGCCTCTCGGCCCTTCTGTCCTCAGGCTGGTGGACCTTCTGGTTTCTGTGGCACTAGCAGTAAACCAGGGCAACTTGCTCCTCATTCACGTGGAGGGAGAGTGAGGCTTTACTTCCCACAGGCCTGGGGTGCCTTGTCCATGCTGCCCGCTGCCTGGGCTGGACGCTCACTGTGGCTGGCGAGGCTGCAAGTGGACTGACACAGGCCTAGGCCCCTGGGGTGCCGCTGGGGGGTCAGTTCGGGGCTGACGGCCGACACGTATGGCAGGACAAGTTGTTGTTCAGGCCACTGAGTATCCTCCCTACTTTTGCCCCAGGGTCTGCCCGTGGGCCCCAGGATTTAGGCTCCCGTGTTCTGACTGGGTGGCGCCTGTGCGCTGCTGGTTATTTCATGTTCTGAACGCCGGGAAACCCCACAATACACACGCGGTTGGTGGGGGGCTCCTTGCAGGAGCAGGGCAGGGGCCTTATGGGTGGAGACCTGCTGTCTAGGAGATGCAGGTAAAGCCAGGGAGTTGCAGCTGCCTGGAGAGGTGAAGGGTGGCAAGGGGCGACCCCTGGTTTCCCATGCTGAGAAACGGGGCCACGAGATAGGAGGCAGTGGGTAAAGGGCTGGTCTGGGAGGTTTCCCAGTGAGTGCGTGTGAGGGAAGAGTGGAGGCCGTGTGGCCCAGGCCTCGCCCGCCAGCGAGAGGCGTCCTAGGATGACCTCTTCCAGCCCCCGGGTCTTGCTAACGGCCTCTCGTTTGTCCTCTCCCAGAAGGGTTTGCAAGAAGGAAGAAGACATCCCTCTGGTTTGTTGGGTCTCTGCTGGTGGTGTCTGTCGTCATACTGACCGTCGGCCTGGCCGCCACCACCAGGACGGAGAACGTGACAGTGGGCGGCTACTACCCAGGCATCATTGTGAGTCCTGGGCGGGGGTGGCACGGGCGGGGGGTGGCACCCCTGCCGGGTCGTGGAACCAGGCGGTGGGGCTAGCAGGACCCCCAGCATGTCCATATCCTGATCCCCACAACCCACAAGTTGGTGGTTATACAGCAGAGGGGACTCGGGTGCTGGTCAGCCCACCTCAACCTGGGCGCGGGCGCGTGTCCTCCACAGCCGGCTGGAGTAGGGGACCGAGGCGTGAGGGCCGCTAGCGGCTGGACCTGGCCAGAGCCCCGGGGCACCCAGCCCTGCCATTCGCTCTGCGAGGCCACGCCAGCCAGCCTAACCCATGGGAATTGGACAAGTAGCTTTAACAGCTCCCGCCAAGAAGCCAGAGCTCGAAGATTTGTCAGCGTGACCATGTGGGAACAGGAGAGGGTGGCACTGACGCGCTGCACTCCCCATGCAGATGTCGGGCAGCAACACCATGCACGAATTGATGGCAGTCTAATCAGACCTGGCGAGAACTGGTCACCACGTTCAAAATTGCCAAGATTTTTTAGCTATGAGTTTACATCCTCTGTTGCTAGCAGTAAGATTTGCCCCAAGTATCTGATTTTGCACAGCGAGCCTCTGCTGGCATGACCTCTGGCCAGCCGCGATGCCCTTCAGTGCACACAGCCAGGCGCCCTGTCGCGAAGCGCTAAGTCAAGATGATTTTTAAAAAAATGAAGCTTATTTACTGTCATTATTTGCACTAAAAGTATTATCAAGGTGAGTTATGTTATTGATAACAATTTTAACAAAGATAAAAGGTTCTTGGCACTCAGAATTTAGAAATGTTTTATAAATACTGTTTATTTCATCGTTACACTATGTATATTTTGTCTTTGCTTTATAAAGCTACATTATCTACGTGTATGTGATTTATTAATATACATAAGTAGAATCTACAGAAAAAGTTTGTCGGCGAAACTGCAAGGGGCCGGCGTGCCTTGTGAGTGGCGGCTTCCCCTGCTGTGTCCTGGGCTGGGAGGGGAGCCCGGAAGTCATGGGGCGAGAGGTCGTGAAGACGTGTCATCCCAAATTATTTGCAAACTGTCAAAGTCAACTTCAAGTGGTAGTTTTTTTTTATTCTCAAGCTTCACTTATTTGAGATTTCATTTCCCATTACATTCAAACTCCAGTGGTTCATGCCGAGCCAAGGCTGGGAAAGAATCTGTCTTCTGGGCCGTGAATGGACCCGATGCTGCCCGCACGCGGTTAGGGTTAGCCCAGGCGGTTCTGCAGGTGAACCTGCGGCCGGCCGGCACAAGTAACCTGAGGAGAACGGGTTTCAGAGTCACTCCCACGCAGATTCTGCCTCTAGTGTGGAGACCTGAAGAAGAAGCTGCTCCCAGGAAGAAGTGGCCCAGAACAAGAAAACACCTCAACGTTTTGGAAAAGGATTGTTTTCAAATCCCCCCAAAATAAAACTTAGGTATATTTTAATATACAGTTCTGTGGGAGTGGAATTTTCATAGCTTTGAGCTGCAGAGTTGAAGTGTGGTATTTTGAAGCAGAACATGAAGAGATACTCATCTTTTCTCATTCCTTGAGAATTCTCGCATCGTTGGGGAAAACCACTTACGTGTGTGGTGTCGGTCACCAACGACGTGAGTACAGGGAGAGGAGTAACTGTAGATGGGAGATTAAATTAAACTGACATCATAGCCTTGGAAACGCCCATAGGAGTATGACCAGCAGGGCCTGTCCTATGTGCAGCAGGAGTCACATAGACCTCACTTGGCCACTGTGGAAAGGATTTGTTCTATCAAATTCGGATTCAGTCAAAGGCTGCACTCAAGGATCCAGAGGCCACGTGTGGTCCCGAGGCCACGGGTTCCCCACCCTCCAGTGGCCCCTCAGTGCTCCCCAACGTCGTTTCTGCTGAGGAGGTGCCAGGGACCTGCCCAGCCCCCCAGACTGCCTCCCTCCTCCTGTCCTGGGCTGAAGGGGCCGAGTGCTCCCTGAATCCAGAGCACAGCTGGGCAGGTCGCTGAGTGGGCGTTGGCGGCGTTCCCCGGTGACCGGCAGCTCTTCCGTGAGACGGTGCTGTGGTTTCCCGGTGTCTTACCTGAGGGGTCTCTTGGGGATTCGGGAGACAGCCCCGATTGCTCTGGGTCTCCCGGAAGATGTTGTCCCTGGAGGGGGAGCACAGAACGCTCTCTTCCCTGCAAGCAGGAGTTAAAAGTGTCTGAACAGAGAAGATAAAACGGTCATGTTCCGGCAGCTTCTCCCCCATCCGAGCTCTGAGCACAAGACGCCCCAGCCCAGGCGGGGGCGCAGCCTCGGCCTCGGACAGCTGTTGCTCTGTTCAGGGGGCATCGGCAGCCGGCCGTGCTGACTGGGGCTTCTCTCTCTTGTTTCCTCTGGTCTCAGCTGGGCTTCGGATCTTTCTTAGGAATTATCGGCATCCACCTGGTGGAGAATCGAAGGCAGATGGTAAGAAAATACGTTGTTTCTTCCAAACGTGGGTGGTGGGGAGTCTCAGCCCCTCAGCAGAAGTGGCTACGGCTGCAGCTGGTCCCTAAGGAAGGTCCCCCTGTCGCCCCACGCGCGGCGACCTCCAGGGCCGCACCACGGACCGCTCCCCCGGCCACAGGGCTCACCTCAGCCCGAGCAGCACTGCGGGGACCGTGGGTGTGTGCTGGGCCTCAGAGCAGGCTCGGGGAGTGGGCTGGGCTTGGGGGTGGCAAACTAACGTGGGTGAAAGCACCTCTTCCTCCTGAGACAGCGCCCCGGAGCCTTCCCTCCCACTGAGTCCAGCTCACGTGTGGGCCGGCCGGGCTGCAGAAAGGCAGAAGGAGAACCAGGCTGCAGGGCGCAGAGTGGGCACCAGCACGCTGCCTGACCCTGACGTCCGCGTTTGTGGGCATGGAACGGACACGGTGACGGGTTTCAGTTGGGGTCTGCTTTGTGGATGCACCGTTTGGGGACGGTAGCTCTAAAAGTAACTCGAGTTAGGTTTGTGAGCTTGCTGTGGTTCTCAGCAGGTGGGTGGTGTTTCCACTCTGCCCTGCACCGCCTGCCTTCTGGGCCGATGGCTCAGCCGCAGGGTTGACTCCCTGGCCCTGCGTGGGGACTGAGTGGGGTGGGCGGCCCCTGGGCAGGTGGGCGGCATGGCTGCAGAGAGGCTGGGGTTCTGGCGAACGAAGCCCTCGCCCTGAGTGGGTGACGGTGCCGCATCTCTCCCCGTGCTGCCTGGAGGTGGGGGCCCACGCTCCTCCTCGTGCCTCCCGGCAGGGGCTCCTGAGGGCAGGGCCTCAGCTGACCAGGGTGGGCGCAGGCTTCACGCACCCGGGCCTGGGAAGCGCGTGCTGGGGAGCCGAGGCCGCCACGGCAGTCTCTGGGTGCGGCTCTGCGTCCCGGGACTGCATACGCCTGCGGGGCAGGTGCAGCGATTTCGGCCCGCAGGGTCCCCGAGGAGGCAGAGTCGCGTGTGGAGCTGGGTGTCTGGCCGTGAGCCGGGTAGGCAGGCGTGTGGAGCTGAGCTGGTCCTGGAAGGCCTGTTTTCTTTCCTTTTTTTTTTTTTTTTTAAAAAAAAACCAGCTTTAGTGAGATAGAATTCACACACCATAGAACTCACTCATTTAACATGTGCAGTTCAGTGGTTTCTAGTGCAGTCACAGACCTGCAGCCATCCCCAGGGTTGATGTTGGACATCTCGTCACCTCAACGCGAAAACTGCCCTTCGGCGACACTCCGACCCCCACCAACCTGCCCGGCAGACCCCTGTCTGGACTTGGGTGTTCGTGGAACGGTGTACAACATGCGGTCCCTGTGTCTGCTCGCGTCACGCAGCACAGCGTCTGTGAGGTTCGCCCGCGCCGTGGCCTGTCTCGGAATCTCCCTCCTGTTTGTGCAGGAGGAACATTCCAGCGCATGGACACACCATGTGCTGTTCATTCGTCCAGCAGTTGATGGTATCACGGCTGCTTCTGCCTTTGGGCTGTTGTGACTGACGCTGCCATGAACATTTGTGTACAAGTGTTTTCGTTTCTCTTGGGTACGTACCTAGGATACCGTCGCCAGGTCAGATGGGAACTCTGTTTAACCATTCGAGGAATGGCCGGCCGTTTTCCCACGTGGTTGCCTCATTCCACATTCCCACGCGGGCAGGAGGGCTCCGGTGTCTCCACATCCTCCCAACACGTGTTACTGCCCGGCTCTTTGGTTCTAGCTGTCCTGGGGTGTGCAGTGGTAGCTCACTGTGGTTTTGTTTGCGTTTCCATGATAACTAAAGGTGTTAGGCGTGTTTTCATGTGCTTATTGGACATTTGTATTCTTTTCATATCTTTTACCTACTTGTAAACTGAGTTGTCAGAATTCCGCATATATTCTAGATACACGCCCCTCATCAGATACATGGTCTGCGAATATTTTCTCTGGTTCCGTGGATCCTCTTTGCAGTTTCTTGATGATGTCTTTTGAAGTTCAAAAGTTTTAAATTTTGATGAACTCCAGTTAATCTATTTTTTTGTTGTTGCTAATGCTTTTGGTGTCATGTTTAAGCTTCCTTTGCCAAATCCAAGGGCACGAAGATTTACTCCTGTGTTTTCCTGGAAGAGTGTCATACTTTAGGTCCGTGAGCCACTCTGAGTTAGTTCCTGCATGTGGTGTGAGGTGGGGGCTCACATGCATTCTTTTGCGTATGGATATCTGGTTGTCTAAGCACCACGTGTTGAAAAGACTGTTCTTTCCCCGTCGAACAGTCTTGGCACCCCTGCTGAAAATTGGCTGCCATAGACACGTGGCTCGTGTGGACGCGGCTCTATCCCGCCGACCTGCAGTCTGTCCTCTTGCTGGCGCCGCATGGTCTCGTTTCCTGCGGCTTCGTCGTGCGTTTGGGAATCGGGGTGTGAGTCCTCCAGCGCGGCTCTGCTCTTCCAGGGCGGGTTTGGCTGTGCTGCATCCCTTGCGAGCCCCTGTGAAGTTTAGAACCAGCCTGTCGATTTCTAGGAGGCGCCAGCCGGGATTCTGATAGGGGTGTCACCTGCAGCTCAGCTTGGGGAGCATCACCGTCTTGGCAGAACTGTCAGCCCTCCTGACGGACGGGTACGGAATGTTTCTCCACTGATTCAGGCCGCCTTTAATTTTTTCCGGACTGTTTTGTGGTTTTTAGAGTATAAATTTTGCCCTTGTTTTGTTAAATTTATTCCTAAGTATTTTATTCTTTTTGAGACTGCTGCAAGTGGAACTGTCTTCTTAATTTAATTTTTGGATTGTTTATTGCAAGTCTTCGGAAATACAGTTGATTTTTGTATCTTGCGACCCTGTTTAACTCATTTATTAGTTCTCATAGTTTTTTAGTAGAGTCCTTTGGATTTTCCATGTACAAGATCACGTCATCTCCAAATAGAGATACTTCTGCTTCCTTTCCAGCATGGATACTGGAAGCCCATTGCTGTGGCTTTGGTGAGAGAAATGTGGGCACTGGAGCCAGGAGTGACGGCCACCACCAGCGTGTGGGGGTCCCGCCCCCCGTGGGTTTCCCTGCTCCCAGCGAAGAGGGCACCAGGCGCCCAGAGCAGAGCCTTGGACGGGTGAGGCCTGCACAGCTCGTTTCTGCCTTTTCGGGGGCACGTCCTCCTGGGCCGTGTAGTTCACAGTCTCACGTTAACTCCGCATCTGTGGTGGCTGGAACCTGGTCCCCAACTGTGCCGTGTGGCTCTGGGAACTTTCTGCGTCATTCGAGCCTGGACTCTTTGTTTGCAGGTGGCTGGGAACATTCGAGCTGGGCCTTGACAGCTTTCGGCAAAGCTGTGACCGTTGTCATGGGCTGTTTTTAAGCACACAGATCTGCCACGGTGTTCAGGGTGTTTCGAAAGGAGGCTAAGAAGGTGTCAGCTAAACAGAGGATGGTGTATTTCAAATGCATCCAGATGCACATGGACACTTTTTTCCTGATTTCTTTTCGTTTAAAATTTTGAGCATAGACAGTTCGAAGCAAGTAGAACAGAATAATGCGTCGTCTGTGTCTGTGACACAGCACCGGCCACTGTCGGCTCTCGCCGGCCCCGCCTGGGGCCCCGCACTGCCCTCCCCCCCTAGTTATTTTGAAGCGAATCCCAGACGTGGTGTCATTTCCTCTGTAATGTTTTCTCTGTTCACTTTGTGGGGAGGAATCTGATCACTGGAAATGTCCTAATGACAATTATCTCTGCCATTACTGTGTCAGTCTCCGGTGACATCTGAAGGTTGGCCCAGACGAAGTCAGCTCTGGATGCTTTCTGTTGGGCGATGAGCGTTGCTGTCCCCTCACCCATAGAGGCTGAGCCACGGAGTCACTCGTGGCTCCATCACCTGGTGCCTCCCAGAGCCCAGGGATGGGGAGGACAAGGCACAAAACAGGGTGTCCACTGCCCATCCTCCGATCCCCCCACAGGTGCCCACACGCATGCACGCGCACAGAGACACAGACATGCACACAGTACATACACATGCGCACATGCACAGACACGTGCACATGCACAGAGACACACAGACACGTGCACGTGCACACACACAGACATACACAGACACAGGCACACAGACATATGCACATACACAGACATACACAGACACAGGCGCACACCTGGGCATGTACAGACACGTGCACACAGAGACATAGACACATGCACACACATACAGACA